CGGGTGGGAGTGCCCGCGTCCCCCTGACGGCGCGGCGCTGGGGGAGGTGGGCGCGCGCCGGCGCCTGTCGTTCGGTAAGTTCCGCGGCTACGACCCTCCAGATGCTGACATCTGCCTCTGTGCTGACACCCCTCCCTGTCACATGCCGGCCGGCGCGGCCCCGTGGGCCGCAGAGCGGAGGGCAAGCGGCGGGGTCGCCTCGCTGGTGGCACAGCCCCGCGGGGGTCCGGGACGGCTTTGGGGCGCCTCTTCCCGACGCTCCGGGAGCCCCGTCCCGCCAGACCCAGGCGGGAACTCCTCCCCGGGCGGGAGGCGCCGGGGTGGGGCCGTCGACGTCTGCCTGGGGCCAGCGATGCCAGGCTGACAGCTTTGGGGAGCAGGGGCTGCCCGGGTTCGGGGCTTCGGGGCGCGGAGCCCTGGCCGCCGCCGCGGGGCGCGGAGGGAGCGCAGCGCAGCCGGGGCTAGGGGGCGAAGTGGACCGACTTTTCCTAGTCGGGCGCCTGCGCTGCCGGCGGGGCTCGGAGATGTCGAAAGCGCAGGCGAGTTCCGACTTGCGCGCTCATTCTTTGCGCTGCCCGGCCGCGCGGGGCTCAGCCCAGGGACTGCGAGGCGCTGGCTCCGACGCTCGCGGCGCGGGGCGGGCGCAGGGGCGCGCGGGGCTCCCCTCGCAGCCCGCTCCCTCGCAGGCTCGTCCCCGGCTGCCCTGCCTTGCTCTGGCCCAATTCTGTAAAACTCACTCTTACAGGCAAACCTGCTTTCACTCTCCGGCACCCACTACGTGTTTGGTGTGAAACGCTATCAACATTTAAAACCCCATTGTCCCCTTGGTCCCAAATCCCCGTAAATCTTCCACCGGCCTCAACTCATTTTCATCTGAAAAGCCTGTTTAGTTTGAATAGAAAAGCAATCAGGCGCCCCTCTCCCTCTCCCTGGAATGTCAATTAAAATGCAGATTTTTTTCCTGAGCTCTTTAGCGCCCGAGAAGGGGCAGAAAAACAGGATATTCCTGGCAAAGCCTTGAAAGAAACGCTGCGGCGAAACCTGGTTGGGGATGGCGAGGCGGCACCCGAAGCTGCTGCCGTCCTCATTGGCCTGCGAGTTAACTGGGAGGGGGCTGCGGGCCTGGACGCAGCATTGAGATTTCAGCGTGTTCAGGAATTTCGCCCCCTAGATTTGACCTCTTGATAGCTCCCTCCTCCACGCAGCTCTGGGGTGAAGGGGGAGCAGTAGGGGACCTTGAGCCTGGAGATGGGCCTGCCCTGGCTGGTACCTGGGCATCCCTCACCTGGCCTGGCCTGGCTCACTGTCCTGTCGTGCAGTCTAGCAGGGACACAGGGGACAGGGCTCGCTGCCCTCAGCGCGGGGCGCCCCGGTGGGCGGACCCTCTTAGGGGTGGCCGCCCAGTTAAGCGGGCACTGCATGGGCCTGCCTGCTCGGAGCATGCAGGGTTTGGGAACGTTCTGGTAAATTGAAGAGCCCAGTGTGGTCTGGCATGGCCACCAGTCCCCAGCCAGGTCACTTAGCCTGTCTTGTGGGAGGCTCGTACTGAGGTGAACATGGCCCAAGGGTTCGGGTGGCTGCGAAGAGCCATCCATCACGGGGAGGGTGACAGTCCCGCCCGCGCCTGGGCTGAGAAGCGAGTTCCCTTTCAAGGGGAAAAATAAACACGCCGGGGCTTTCGCTGAGGCTGACTCCAGGAAGGATTATGGCATTGAAGGCAGGAAGCTGGGATTGTGGCTGCCAGCGGCCTGCTGAGCCTGTGTTCCCAACACCGAGCCCCGGACCTCATTATCCTGCCTAGGGGGTCCCTCCATACCTTTCTCCACTTCGGTGGGGAGCCCTGCAGACCTATGCTGAGGGCCTTGCCTTGCCTTCCCGAGGCCCTGGGAGGGGGCTGCGTGGGGCCTGGGCCTGGGGAGGGGGCGCGTGGGGCCTGGGCTCGGATGTGGCTAAGACGTGTTTCTGGTGCGTTTGGGTGAGCAAGGCTGGCCGGAGAGCTGAGGTCGCTGTCCATCTCAGTCTTCCCGGAGCTAAGGAGGCTCCTGAGTGCCAGGGTGAGTGGGTAGAGGCAACTGGGGGAGCAGCCTGGGGAGAACTCCCCTGCTGGGCTGAAGAGTTCAGAGGCAGAAAATTCCCATGCATTCTAGAAATGCTTAGTAAATCAAGGAGAATGCCCGTGTACTTTCCTCCCACATGTATGTAGAAATAGATGCGGACTTATCTCTTGAGGCTCCTGAAGAGGAAAGAACATTGGGGGAAGTTCTCAAGCAGCTGGATAAGTTGGGACACAGGCGTGCACACCCCCACTGCACCCACCCCGCACGCCCTCACTTTTCTTGCTTCTGCCGTGAATTCCGCCGCACACGTCTTTGATTCTCAGGCTTTATTTCTCTTTTGGACATGGTCCTGCCCCTGCCCAGTTCAGCCTTAAGTTTTTCTGAGGCAGCTTTGGGGGAGGCTCGGGCACTGTTGGAATCCCGTGTATTCACCAAAACATAACTCAGCAAGCAAAAAGCAGGAGTTTTAGATTTCTTTTTCTATTAAAGTTCTCACTCCACCCCAGTCTTGTAAAATGTGGTTCCTCCTTACTGTTTGCAGCATTGAGACTGTTTTCATGAGATTCTCCGAAGCCTGTGCCTTTAGGCTTTATACGCAGTCGCGGAGGCTACCAGAGAAACATCAAAGTTGTTGGGCATATTTTCACTTTGGACACTTCTCTGTGCCTTTAGATCGAGTGGGTAAACCAGAAGAGTAAGTTGAGCGCCCCCTTGTAAAGTCTCTGCTGTGCAGTGCTACCCAGTAGTTCAGCACAGTGAACATTATCGACCCAATAACACGCCGTGACGGCAGTTTGCAGCTTCCCTCCGTGTCAATCACCCTCGTTAATAAAGCGCGTTAGGCCTCCGTGTTCACTGCACCTCCGAGCCTGAGCGACCCCCGCCAAGCCTCTGGGGGGAGTCAGCCCCGGCCTCTGCTCTGGGGGTGCTGGAGCTGCACCCGTCCTTCCTAAGTGGCTGCTCGGCGGAAGATTGAGTCCCGTTTCTGCATTTGGAAATGAATCTTGACAAGTATAAACGGGTGGGAATTTTGTAGCCTTCCTGGGATTCTTTATTTGCTGGTCTCCCTTCTTCCAGAGCGCTCCAGGGAGGGTGGAGCAAAGCACTCCTGTAGCTCCGCAGAAATATGACTGTAAGCAGAAGCCTCCGTCCAGCTTCCTAAAGCCCCTTGGCTGCGGGGATGCTAGCGAGACTGGCCAGGCCAACGTGGGTGCTGTGGACTGGCTTTGTCTTTGTCCTTGAAAGTAAGGTCACGCTTTGCCTCCGCTTTTTGAGGCCAGTGGAGGTGATAACAGAAACAGAGCACGCTGGCCCAGCTGCAGTGGACACATGTAATCTGTGTCCTGTTAGCTGAGCTTCTTAGCTCTGCTTCTTAAAAGTCTGCCTTTGAAAAGATCAGCCCTGCACGTTTTTTTTTTGTTTTTTTTTGTTTTTTTTTTGCCCGACCTGGTGGGAATGCCTGGGATGCTGAGGTGTGCATGGAAGGAGGCATTTGCAGGTTCTAAAAAAACTGCCAGTCGGAGAGGCTGAAACCAGCTTTCTCCCACTCAGGTCTGAATGAATTGGCATCGGGGAAGAATCTACTGACTCCGGACTCTCTTTCCTCCAGAGGTTGCAGCAGAAGCAGAAGCCAGCCGGCCGCGGCCGCCTGGGCAGCACCCCGGATCCTGAGCCCCCCACAGGCTGAAGCGTTGCCAGCATTCCATGCTGTAGGCGAGTGTGCAGATGGGATTACCGTCCACATGGAGATATGGAAGAGGACGGGGCATCGGCACCATAACCATGGTCAGCTGGGGGCGCTTCATCTGCCTGGTTGTGGTCACCATGGCAACCTTGTCCCTGGCCCGGCCCTCCTTCAATTTAGTTGAGGATGCCACATTAGAGCCGGAAGGTAGGTGACTTTCATTTCACTTGCAGGGTGCCAGGTTTGTTTTGGGATTTGTCTGGGGAAGTGGCACTTAGGTCAAGGCCTGGTTTAGAAGCAGCTGTCCTTGCTCGGTGACCCAGTTTTCTGAGGCTGGGGTGGGCAGGGGCTTGAGAGGAGGGTCTTCGCTGGGACGCTGCAGGCAGGGGGCAGCGCTGTGCCCAGGAGGGCTGCAGAGGAGAGGTCATCTGCGGCCTCCTGCCTGTTGGAGGGGGAGTCTGGCTTGCAATGTAGAGTCTCTCTTTGGCAACAAAGGGCGCCGTGGAGGGAAGTTCTGAGCAGAATGCTGACATTTTGTTTTCATTGTCTAAGGAGAAAAAGATGCTTCTGAAGTTCAGCTCACAGATGCTTGACTCAGATCTCTTTAAGCCGTTGTCATTCGTAATTCTGAGTGTACGTCACAGCAGATTCCATTTTAGATATGTTTGAAAGTGGACGTGGCTGCCTGTCTCTTACCTCTCTGAGAACTTCCAGCCTGAGCTGGGCATGCACTGGTGTGGCAGCTTTGCAACTTGCGTTGCAAAAGCATCAGGCCGGTTGCAAGGACTCCACGGGGCCGAAGGATTCGGTTGGGTAATGTGGAACCGCTTTTCCGGGTCCTTCTGGGACGAGCTTAGCCCAGCCGCTACCTGGCGCAGCGCTGAGATCTGTCATCAGGAGGGATATTGGTAGCTGCGTTCCATTTGGGCAGTAACCTGAGAAGAGCACGGGAGATCCCAGCTCTCATCGACACTTAATGAAACAGTGTGCGGGGAGCCCACCTGGTGCCCACTGGGCTTGGGGGGTCTGTTGTGTGGCCGTGGTCCGGGCCAGCAGCCTGCACTGTGGCGTGGGGGAGCCCCGGGCTGGCGGACGTCAGAAAACCCGTGGGGGACGCCGACTGTGGGAGGGACGGTTCCCCGCCTTCTGAGGCCAGAGTGGGGTGCCTGGACCCTAGTCACGAAAGGAGGAAGCCTCGCCTTTTTCTGGGCAGCGGCACTCTGTACCGAAGCCATCACGCCATCCCCTGGGTAAGGCTGGCCCACTTTCTGACAGACAGAGGCTTTGTCGGGGAGGGGCTCCGGGTGGGAGTTTGTGTCTGCGCAGGGCTGAGGCCCAGGAGCTGCAATCGCCGCGGTTCGTGCTGAGCCAGGCCCAGGTGAAGAAGAAACTGTCATTTTCCACTTAGACTTGCGAGGCAGCGTTGTTGGGAGTTTATTTTAATGTGATGTGTAAAATGGTCCTAAAGGAGCTTTTAAAAATCATATTTGGTTTTGGAAGAAAGTTTGAAAGGTGTGTCTATGCAGGGAGAGAGAGGGGAAGCCGAGCGAGCGGGACGGGGTGAGGTCCCCCCAATGGTTCTTTGTTTGAAAATTTCTCCGCAACAATGTGAGTATTGTTGAGCGCAGGTCTTCCCGAGGTGGGGGTCTGCAGGAGGGGGTGGGAGGCGGGCCGCTGGGCTTCTGTGGAAGGGCAGGGAATATTTTGCAAATGTCTTGGTGCATTTTGGGCTTGTCGCAGGGATGGGGTTTGCATCCAGAGTTGTGAGATGTTAAAAACAAACAGAAGGGTTAGAGGAGGCGGCGAAACCCTGCAAAGAAGCAGCTTTGGAAAAGCTTCCAGCCCCGTAGACCTCGGCTTCCCTTTCTGTCTCCCGGGGGTTTCATAACATGATCTTTAGGGTCCCTTCGATGGTATTACTTGAATGTTAATGTTCCCAGGAGCCTTCTGAGGACTCGCCTCACCAGTTGGTTAGATTTAAATGTGATCCAGGCCTAAAGAGCAATTAGCTCGGGGTCTGGCATCTAATTAGCACCAGCACCGTGTTCCGTGGTTGCCAGTGACCTGGGAGCAGGGTGGGTTGGCTCTCTGCTGCTAGGGTCGGACCGCTCGGCTCTTGCGGACCTTCGAGAAGGTCATGCTTTGATGGGGGAAGCCCTTGGAGCTTCCAGGCAGCTGCCTGCTCTGTAGGGTCTGGACCTCTCTGGGTGCTGAGTCCAGTGCTGGCGTCCGTCAGCTTCCCAGGGCTCTCCTACCCGGGAGCTCTGCTTCAACCCCGGGGCCCGGTGCATCCTCGGGGTTAGTACAACTCGAGCTTTGGCTGCGAGACATTCAGCCTTGACCTTCTGTTGCTCCAGGTCTTATCTAGCAAGAATTTGGAAGCTCACTTTGGATAATGTCTGTTGGGCTGAAATACAGGAAAATGTGGCCAGAGAGAAATGTAGCTGCAGTTCCACAAGGAAGCCTGGGCCCCACCACTGGGGCGCCTTCTGGCCGCTCGGCTCTGTCCAGTAACCCGCACCGTCATCCTATCTCCTGTCATCTGTCACTTGACTGAAGACACTTTGTGAAGCGGAGGGGTTTGCTCTGTTCAACTGCCTTATAGTGAACGATCTTTACCAGGTTCCAGCTAATCTTCCAGATCGAAAAGGAGTATTTTTACTTGGTCATTCATGTTGTAGGGGTCAGCTGACCCGGGTACATGCAGTTCTAGGCTCAAAGGCCGGCCCGTGCCCAACTCCAGGGTCTGCTCTGTTCTGCTGGCTCATGTCTTACTTAGAATATAATCAAGCCTGATAACCCGGGGGAGGAGACAAAACTCTTACTTTCAAGTTCTTCTGACTCTGTCACCTCCTCTGGTTAATTAAGTCATTGTTGACATTAACCACATCTTTGTTTACACCAACCCAGTAGGAGCCAAAATAAAGGGCTTTTCCACCCCAAACCCTTAATTACTTTCCCACCCTCCACAAAGTGTGATTCTGAAAAACAACAACCTGGGGGGAAACGTAGTTTGCATGTTTGTTTTTTTTAACCCATTTCTGGCAACCTTTTGAGCAGTGATGTGGTCCCGGACCAGTGCGAGCTGATCCAAAGTTCAATCGCAGGGGCTTGGGAGAGATGTGCTCAAGAGCTTGATTTTTTTCAGTGGGGGTTAAGGCCTTTGTTGGGAGTATCCTAAGTACCATATCAGCCATATCGCGGCAAGTTAAAAGGAAAGAAAAAAAGAATAGATCTGCATACCAAGACTGAATGATTTAAAATAATCTTCTGTTTTGTATTATCTGCATCTTTATTCTTCAATATGAGTGTTAATATTTAAGAATTGACTGAAACTCAATAGTTAGCTTAGGGACAAGGACTCACTCTTGGTCAGTTAAACCAAATGCAGGTTGACGCAGTTAAAGACACAGTGAAAGGCACATTTTTTATGAGGATATAAAGTATTTCACAATTCATAGATAAAGAGCTATGCTTAATATTGCTTTTTACAGCAGAGGTCTGGCCAGCCAAAGAATTGGGGCTTGGGTATGTTCTATCTGGTTCCATCTGATCTGAAATGGGGGTGTGTGTGCAAACTTTCTCTTAACCAGTTAAAACATTGAGCACCTACTATATGAGAGGACCCCCACCCGTCATACCCGAAACTTGTTCCTTGCAAGTCTTTCTAGCCTTGTGAGAGTAAGAATTCAGATAACCAGAGCAGTCCGCTATGAGGCAGACGTTTCCAGTATCAGACTTAATGAATAATTACATGGTTATGAAATAACCGAGGCTGTGTTTAAACAGGAAGAGTTTTGTTTAATGTTCAGATTCTCAATAAAAAATATCCAGTAGCCCTCCAGCGTGTTGTTTGGGTGTTTACTTATCCTGGGTAATTGTGAAAGGCTCCCCATCCCCTCTCATCCTTTGAGTCTGGCTTCGTTTGACAATTCCGTTTCAACTCTCTAGTTTTAGTCTGTAAAGGAAAACGTGGGGGACTGACTTTGGGGGTGCCAGCCAGCCACCCTGGGCCAGAGCGGAACTGGCTTGCTGTTCTCCCTGTGCTGATTTGGTTCTTAAGCCAGGGTGACTTCCCTTGGTAGGCGCTTGCGAAATTATTCTTTGAAAGTTTTTCAGGCCCTTCCACAAGGGACGCTAGGTAGTCCAGTGCCTTGGGCTCCATGTCTGGGATACCCGCTGGCTGCATTCAGCGGGATGCCTCTGCATTTCCAGCTTCCCTGGCATCGGAGCCCTGCCCTCCCCTCCTGGCTGGCGCGGTCTCGCTGGCAGTGACCTTGCTGGAGTCTCTGAACGGCAAGGCGGAGGGTTCCTGAGCAGTATCACTGCACCATCATCATCTCCAAGCCCCCAAAAAGCTCGAGTTTTTATGTTTTAATAAAGACTAAATAAGATTTATTTATTTATGCATGTAAGAGCTGGGGTAAAGGCCCAGCTGCAGTGCGTGAGAGGATTCACCAGGGACAGAGTGGGCAGCGGGACAGGCAGATGGACTGAAATCCACTGCTGAGGGGAGCAGCAGGGAGACAGGAGAGGTCTGCTGTGCCCTGCGGGTCAGCTCCTGGCCGGGGATCAGACTCTGCTGTAGTGGCTATGAATAGTGAATAGCGTAGTAGTGCAGAGCTTTAACATTTACGCCCCCAGGGAGGTCCTGGAACTCAGGTTTTTAAAGCTACAACCTAGTTTATTTTTGTCTCCACCAACTAGCCACATCCTCCTGCCTAGGCCTGGTGCTCTGGCCTTGGGTTAGGGATGGTCGGGAGAAGAGCAGCTGCAGGCATGGTTTACAAGTCTGGTTGAATCACCCCTGGCCCTGTACCCCGAGGTCAGGCAGGCAGGTCTTGGGATTGGATGTCTCCTTGTGAAACCAAGGAGGTCACACGTCCTGATTCACCCCATCTCTGGTCTGTTGTCACCCTCTTTTAGCACATGATAGAAATCAAAGTGGTGCTGCAGTCTCAGTGCTGGGTGGCGTGGTAGGCTTTCTCTGGCCTCCACTTCTAGAACCTTACTAAGCTTTGCCTACTCGCATGTACCAGGGGATAGTTAATTGTCAAGTCAGACACCTTGTAGACTGTGTGGCCAGTGACAGAGGCACAGTCTAGCTTTTCCTTCATTTTGAAGTGGGGAGACTCAACTGTGAAGATGTTGAGGGTGAGCTGTTGTTCTTGATTCCACTTTGGAACCTTATAGGTAATTACGCCCTG